ATGTATATATAATACCAAGTAAAATTGAATATAGCGAGCCACAAACCAATTTCAAGTTGATTTCGTGTCGAAACGGATTTAAATAGCTTAATTTTAGATGGATTGAACTGATTTTGAGCTAAAATGGATACCAGTAACTCAATTTGAGCCAGCTCGTTTCAATTTCAAGCCAGATTGAGCTCGATTCAATTTCGAGCCGGCTCTGCTCGAAATCAAATATAACGAGCCACAAGACAATTTTACGCCTCACTAAATCTATTTGAGCCGATCCTAGCTCGGCTTGAAATCAGATCGTTGACAGCCTTACTCTTGGGTTGATTTGATCAAGCACAATGAAAATTTTCTTTCTATTCCTTCAACTCATTCCTAAAATTAGGGGTATTCTTATTACCGCTTGCATTTCGATTTGAAAATCTATTACTTCTCTCAATATTGTGATTCTTGTTTGGTTTTTTCTTTGAGAAAAATTTCTATCGAAGTCTCTTTTCTTAAAAAAAGGATTATGTACTAGTTCTGTCATGTAAAAAAAAGCTTGGTATATGATTTTCAATCTTCTCCGGATGTATTACCCTCTTTATATTTTTTTTAGCATATGCTTTTATGTTAAATGCATTCAATGTTAACTTTTAAATGAATAATCTCCTTTACCAGAGCTTTGTTTTTTGCTAATTTATTTTTGAACTTTGAGGTTATTTTGTTTTTTTGTTTTCATATTGGTACCGGAAGAGGAACCCCAAACAACAAAATAAACACAATATTCTTGCCGAGTTTAAAAAGCTTACAAACACACAGTTGAAAAACAGGAAATACCGACAAATGAACACAAATAATAAAAGATATCCGCAGGAGACGACGAAAACAGAGATTGTGAGGTGTTGGTGGTATGAGAGGGCTGCGGTGGCAACAACAACAAGAGAGTGTTGGGTGGTTGGAGGAGTGTTGGACAACCGTAGGGAAGAACAGGAGGGCTGCGATGGGTGGGAGGAGTGTTGGATAGCCGTGAGGTAGAGCAGGAGGGGAAGAGCAGGCGTGCTGCAGGGGTTTGAGGAGTGCTAGACAACTGCGGCGGAAGAGCAGGAGGGGCTGCGGTGGCTGGATGAGGGCAGGCCGGTGATTGGCAACGAGAAGGAGCGGTGGTGGCTGAAATGATGGAATGACAACAGGAACACGAATGTACGGTAAGATAAATGCCTCCTCGGGTTTGAGCTACAACCGGAGCTCCACTCGAACCCTTGAAGACGATCACCTCTAGGAGGGATATCTGAAGTACTTCCTTGCTTTTGGATACATCCCTCGAAGGGGAAAGCAGGACGCCGGTGGTTGTTTAAACAAAACGCTGAATTTTTAAGCAAGAAAAGACCTCCCTTATGCGAAACAACCCCTATATATAAGAGAGATTAGGACTTATGTTAGACAATGTTTTTAATTAAGAAATAAAATATAATATGCAAATGTTTTAAAATAAGGAAGATAATAAAAATAATAAGATTTCGTTATTAAGAGAATGTTTATAATAGGAAAATTTCAGAATAGATAGACTAATAATAATAATAGAAATTCAGAATTGGCAATTGCTAGTAAGGAAAGATGGGAAAAGGAAAGAGGAAATAAGTGGTTTCTTCTTGAGGACCGGCTGGTTCCTCTCCAAAGCTCCGCTTCAGTTGCCCGGGGTTGGGGGAGTTTCAACCTCATTTGTCGAAGCTTTTGGATCCTCAGGTATGGTGTCAGATCTACGACATTGAACGTGGATGACATGTTGGAGTCTCCTGGTAGGTCAATCTTGTAGGCGTTGTCGTTCCAAAACACACTTTGGTAGTATAAGTTTTCATCCCTCTTTGATACGCCCTGAGCTGGAACTGTAGGTAGATGGGTATTCTCACCACTAAGGAATTGAGCCATTCAAACGGTAAACTGCTTCTTCCATTCCTCCCAATCGGCTGAGTGCAAATGAGGAACCGGTATGGAAGGTGAGATCAATAGTGAGCTTAAATTTGTGGCAGGCTGCACCTCACTAGAACCTCTTCAGGAGAGACCTTTTTACTGATACGACTTGGATCCCATTGAATAATTTTCATCCCATCAAGCTCCTAGGTCCCCATTACAAAATTGGGATTCATCTCTTCTTTCAGAACATCTGGCGATGAGTACGATGTTGGATTGAAAATGACCTATGAATAATCTCCCGTAATATTTTCGACATGGCAGAAAATGACCCCATTTTTGGAATGTTGGACCTACCCCCATAAGGGTAACACAGGAAGGGGTCTATACATTTGAAAAATGTACAATGCTCTAATTTGTGGTGGTCCTGTATCAGCGGTCGACTCCTCAAACTCATGCCCATTTTTGATATCTCAAGCTAGTCCTGCTGATGTTCCTCTCACCGTTTGTGAAACAGTTGCTCGAGGTACCACCACTTCATCCTCTGCATGAATGCTTGTTACATCAAGGTTACGGCCTTTCCGAACGACTACTATTACCCCAGTCAGAATCTCATCTCGGGGTCAACTAGAATTGGCTGCGTCTCTTCCTTGTTGGCTGACAATTATGGATTCTCTTTGAAATATGCATCTTTATTCTGGATTATCATTTATCTTTTCAACTGGAAGTTGGTTCTCGTTTTTTTCCTCACCAACAGTGCCTGCGGTGTCATTACCTAACTTTTTGATGACGCTCTTGTTGATCACTCCCTTGGTTGTGCATTCTGCTTCAACATGTCCAAAGTTGCGACATTTGCAACATTTTGTGGCTGTGACAGTTTTGTAGATTGGCTTCGCTGGCTAGTAGCAAGGGAGGTCGTTTGGTGATAAGGTCTCTCCACTTCAGAAGCTAGAGTCTGTGACTTTTGACGGTTGTAAGTTGGTAGGAACTGACTTTGTGTTTCCTGTTTCATCTTTATATCTTCTCGTTTCCCTCTTCGACCTTTCAGATCACGATCGAGTGCAGTCTTCAATTGAGTTTCATCTTCTATGTCCGTAATCCACTGTAGAAGTTGACGGTTCTCTTGCCGTATCTCCTCCCAGGAAGACTCGGGCATGTATCTCAATGGTGGCATGGTTAGGGTCTAGGAATTGGAATGAAAAATACTTTAGTAGAGGTGAAAGAGGGTAAAAAATAATTGGGTCAAGGTTGCTGATTTTAAAAATCAGCGAGGGGAATTAGGCTTAGGAACATGTGGTAGTGGAACGAGTATTGGGTGGTAGGAAGGAAATTTTGTTGGTTATGGCGAACGTTAGGAAACCTTATGTTAGGACTAGGGTTGGGTTGGAGGAGGCAGCCTAAACCACAAAAGAAACACAATTTATTGCTAAATTGAAAGAGCTTACAAAAACACTTGGAAAGCAGGAAATACTGACAAACAAACACAAAGAATAAAATATATTCGCAGGAGAAGACACAGTCGGAGACTGTAAGGGGGTGGTATAAGAGGTTTGCGGTGGCAGCAACAATAGGAGAAGGATGCGATGGTCGAAGGAGTGCTGGGCAGCCATGGGGAAGAGTAGGAGGGCTGCAATGGGTGGGAGGAATGCTGGACAGCTGCGGGGGAAGGCCAGGCGGGCTGTGGGGGTTGGAGTAGTGTTGTATAGCTGCGGGGGAAGAGTAGGAGGGGCTGCGGTGGCTGGATGAGGGCAGGCTGGTGATTGGCAGCGGGAAGGAAGGAGCAACGGTGGCTGGAATGATGGAACAACAGAAGGAAAATGGACCTACAATAAGATAAATGCCTTGGACCCTTCTAGATGGTTTCTACCTAGGACGAGGAACAACTAGAGCACATCCTTGCCTTCAGATACATCCCTCGAAGGGGGAAACAGGACCCCGGTGGCTGTCCAAACAAAATGCTGTGTTCTTAAGCAACAAATGACCTTTTCCCCTAAGCAAAACAACCCCTATATATAAGAGGGTTTAGGACTTATTTGAGACAATACTTTTAATTAATAAATGTAATATAATAAGCAATGTTTTATAATAAGGAATAAAATAAATTTGTTAGAATTCATAATTTAGGTAATGTTTATGATAGAAAGAATTTAGAATAGGTAAAGACTAATAAAAATAATAGAAATTCAGAATTGGAAGTGCTGGGAAGGAAAGATGGGAAAAGGAAAGAGGGAATAGGAGGAAAGGAAAGATGGGAAAGGAAGAAGAGGGAAGGCGGGGTCGCTACCCTCCCCTCTTGAGGACCGGTTGGTTCCTCTCTAAAGCCCTGCGTGACATACTTTTTCAAAATGGTTGAAATAAATAATTTTAAGCATGATAGTAACCTTTAGAGTTATTGTTCATAAGATTTTCTAGATTTGTTAGGCTTGTTCATTTTAGTTTTAGATTTTTGTGGCATGTAATTTAGTCTTTTTTAATTCATTAAATCTAGATCAATTTGGTACTACTGTAAACTTGACCGTCTCTTTGGATAAAACTTGGTGGAAGAAATCTTTTCATTAGTCTTTTTTAGGATCAATCTCACGATTTAATGCAAATTCAAAATGATGAGTTAACTGTAAAAATTACTAAATTTCTAAATTCCCTTATGAGAAGTTTCTCTTCACCAGTTTCCATCATAAGAAGTGACAAATTGGCAGTTGAACCAAATTAGATCAAATTTGGTGAATTGAGAGAGTGAGTTGAACATTTGAAAATATTTAGGACCAAAACATACAATAGCCTGGGTACATTTTGGTTTTTTTTTCACCACCTTTATAACTCGAATATTTATATGATATACATTTTTTTGACTTGCATGTTTGATCATCGTTAACTGGAAAGTTGATGTTCTCAAACATGGTATTTGGCCATTGTACTTGTTCAATTTTAACTGGCTTAATTTAATTTTAGCCATGAACGTCTCAGCTGTTCATATGCATGAAATTAGAAACCTTCAAATTGTAGAACTAAACTTGTTTGAGTCAATAAGCTTGACAAAACTAGTTGTGTTCGCTTGTAAAAGACCTCTTGCAATACATGTGCAAGCAGGAAAAATCCTTTTTTTCCTCTGACTTGGGATATTTAATTGGTTGAACACGCTCAAGTGCATATATGTTAACTTGCGAGCTAGATTTCATTATTACGTTTGTTTTGCTTACTTGTCTTTACTAATTCTGGATAAATATTCCTGTAGATTTCGTTCGAGGATAAAAAAAAGGAGCTGTTTGAAATGGTATTACATTTGAAAATTGATTAGGATTAGCTTCGTATTTTTATTTTTCCTCAATCTGTTTAGAATTTCTCCTTTTGGATTTCTATACAGGTGAGCATTCCGCTTGGCTTACTGTGGATACGCGGCTTGGTAGCTTGTCAATCCACTTGGATACTCCTCAATGTTTTTCCGCAGAGATGTATGCTGCTGACTTGAATATTCCTGGAGCACCTGAAGATTTAAAGGTAATTGCATTTTGTATTTTAGTTTTAGCACATTTTGCTTACGGAATAATTATCTACTATGGAGAAAGCACTTAGTGGGTGGGTTGAATTGGGTGTGCAATGAGACATTTTTGACTTCATTCAAAATTCTTCAAATTCAAACCTTTAAAATTAAACAGGATAGTAATGTGGAAAATAAATATACAAGGAAGTGTATAATATTTTGATAGATAAGACTAGATGCGAGAAAGTGTTGTAGCTTGTAGACTTTAAAATAAGTAGATTAGCACACCACATGAGCTAAGATCATATATGTTAAACACCAAAGCCGTATAAGTCCAAACATATGTTTTTTTGAATAAGATATGTAGGGCTATAAACGAGCGAGCTCAGGATCGGCTCGTGTTTGGCTCGTTCAATATAAACTCGTGTTCGAAATCAGCTTATGTTCGAAATGACCCGTGAAGGGAGTGTTCATGTTCGGCTCGAATAATATTTTCTGGCTCGAGTTCGGCTCGAAATTGGAGGAATCGGAAGAAGGAAAGTGACTCGAAAGAGGAAAAGGAAGAGGAAGAAAAAGAGCAAACCCTAAGCTATCGCGGTCGAGGGGATTTTTCAGAATAACCAAGCAAGAATACTGAGCAATCGAGCCAAGACTTCCTATCGAAGGAGAAGTAGAAGTAGAGATTAGATGACAAACACAGACGACAAACCCTAAGCTGTCGCGGCTGAGGGGATTTTGAGAGAAGTAGAGTTGCAAGAGGGAGACTCGGAGAGGCAGCCGAACGCGAGAGGTTTCTAGACAGGAATGGGGAGGCCGGTTAGGGTTTTTTTCGTTATATTATATATATAGTACATAGATATATGTATATGTATGTATGTACATAGATATATGTATATGTATGTATGTACATAGATATATGTATATGTATGTATGTACATAGATATATGTATATGTATGTATGTACATAGATATATGTATATGTATGTATGTACATAGATATATGTATATGTATGTATGTACATAGATATATGTATATGTATGTATGTACATAGATATATGTATATGTATGTATGTACATAGATATATGTATATGTATGTATGTACATAGATATATGTATATGTATGTATGTACATACATATATGTATATGTATGTATGTACATACATATATGTATATGTATGTATGTACATACATATATGTATATGTATGTATAGATATGTACATACATATAGATATATACATACATGTACATGTATGTACATACATGTACATGGATATGTACATGTATGTACATACATACATATGTACATGTATGTACATACATATATATATGACAGTATATATATATGAGAGTATATATATGAGAGTATATATGACAAGGTATTTGCAAACAACGAGCCAAATTGACAGCCTTGAATATATGAGAGTAGAAAATGGGAGCTTGTGATTAAATTTGTTTTTTTTATTTTGTGTAACAGAAAAGGTGAAAAATTTTACATAAACATATAAAGAAATTTCAAGATATAAATATGAAAATCAGTTTTGTAACGGAGGATTGGAGGTTGCAACTTCAAGTTCAATTTTTTAATCCTTGAGGAGGCGGAGAGATTTTTTTAGATAGTTTTAGTTTAGCGTAAGGATGGACTTAATCTTCACAAAGTTCCACTCAAATGATAATCAAAATTACAATAAAGCATAAGAGATTGAATGCCATAAGATATTAAGCAGAAAAAAGAGCTCCTTTAAGTATCTGCTTTTGATCGTTCATTGCTGAATGCTTAAAGAAAATTGCTTTTCAAAACTCATAAATGATTTTGCAAGGAAATTTTTTAAGTTGATTGATCCATTCATTTTATATTAATTATATGAGGTATTTACAGCACTCAAAACCTCAAAAAAATATTCTAAAACTTATTAGGAATCTCTAAAGGATTCTGTCACACTACAGCTGAACCCCCCTAAGGTCAAACCTATGTGTAGCAGAGGATGACGACTCAATCAGACTCAAATTCCACCAAGGCTTGTCTTGGTTTGCACAAATTAGGACCAAGGGGGCAGATGATTAATCTAACTCAACCTTCACCCAGAGATATTTATGTTTCGTAATCTCAATCATCAATTCATATCAGTCTTTACAGAAAAGCATGTGGAAATCATTTTCAAACCATATACAGAGCTACTATAAAATTACATATAAAACGTTCACACTACAAAAGTTGTCAAATAATCATTTTGCAAAAATTATTTTACCCAACTAATTTCCCATTTGCTCCTTTTTCCTCCCTGGAAAGCACAAGGTAATATAAGATACATTACAAGCACAGTGAGATAATTAATTAAAAATAAAGATTCGATGGACATGGAAGGAACATGCATGCTAGTTAGCAGCTAGTATGAGTAACACGGGGAATAATAACATGCCTGTCTATATAATAGTACAGGAGACATTAAATGTAATAAATGATGCAGTGGTCAATACAAAACGAACTGCCGCTGACATTGTTTTCAATCGTTGCAATATACAATATTATGTATGCGTTTACTTTTACTTTCTTTTTCTAACGAGTTTTTTGTCTTAATAATGCCACATTATATTTACATATGCTTTTAACTTTTTTCATTTTCTCGGATTGTCATCCAACTGATTAGCTACAATAAAAATCATTGATAAAGGTTTGTCTTCCTCCACCGACATTGTTTTCAATCATTGGAATATACAATATTATGTAAGCTTTTACTTTCACTTTCCTTTTCTAATGAGTTTTTTGTCTCAATAATGCCACCTTGTATTTACATAGGCCCTAACTTATTTCATTTCCTCGGATTTTCATCCAACTGATTAGCTACAATAAAATTCATTGATGAAGGTTGATCGTCCCAAACATAACACTTATCATTGACCTCCTAATATAAAATATCCTCTCCAATCTCAATGGCAAGTGTCAGGAATTGACCTACTAATAGAAAATATCCGTTCCAATCTCAATGGGAAGTGTCAGGAATTGAATCTTTGACCTCCTAATAGAAAATTTTCGCTCCAATCTCAATGGGAAGTATCAGGAATTGAGTCATTTACCTATTCAATCTCATGTTATTAAAATTTTTGCCTTGCACAGGTCATCAATATGTCTTCTTATCACCACACTCATGATTTTCTTTTGATCATTTACATATAATGATTATTTTTATATGCAATTTTTATTTGTGTATGTATCTGCAAGCAAATCATTTAATTTAATTTGAACAAGAATATAATGAGATCCGTAAAATTAACATTTTATATTTCAGTTTGCTTTTATATAAAATATATAGGTACGCAATGGTACGAAAGAATTTCTAAATGCCACTTATTGGTGCCAATTATACAATAAATGAATATGTCAATCAACATTAGTAATTAATGATCCTAAAGATCACTTTTATTTTTAATTTAGCACTTGATTATAGCACCTGGGTTGCCGGGTTAACCCTATGATGAGTCTCTTCGGGTTCGTCTCGAGCTCTTCACCTAGTTTATGCAGGCTGTAAATTACAATTTTCCCAAAATTTTGGAAAATTTTTAAATTAAACTTAATGTAGCATCACGAAGCTTAATTTCATTTCTACCTCAATTTGGTCTCTCCTCATTCAAACACTTAAAAGGTTCCCCCAATTTTGAACACACCTGGTCAAGTGCTATTCCTCGCTTCTACTTGGGGCAAATGCTATTCCCCGCTTCAACTTATTTAAATGAAAGAGTCTAAATCAAATTCTTACATCAAATATCAATTTTATTGCCTGAAATCTTCCTTCCGTTTCTTTTCTTTCTCTTCCTATCCTTATTTTCCTTTCTGGATTTTCCCTTGCTGCACCAACCCAAGAGCAGTGAGCTCTCAGTCCTCAGCTGTCTCACCCAAACGTGAGTCCCAAAGAAGGAGCTATGGGAGAAGGGTACTGGGAGAAAGTAAATGTATTATATATATAGATTATAATCTTAATTTATTTTAAATCCCTACCATCTGTTCCATCCGCCCATTGCATGTAGCAGAATGTGGGGTTAGGGAATTATTACAATATCATGGATTAGATTAGTCAGTGATTATGATTTATTTAATTAATTTAATTAAATCAATTATATTATATAATGCTATATATATTAATTTGATTGATACAAAATGTGAAATTTTATTATATTGTTGGGGTGAGTTTCGAGGACTCCAAAACAAAAAAAAAAGGTATTTTTAAATATTAAGTGCTTGTTTGGGATTAATTTTATTTTTATTTTTGTTTTGAAAAACATGTTTGTTTAGTTTATTTTTTTATTTCTAAAATAAATTAACATATTTCTAGAAACAATTTTGAGTGTTTGTAAAAACAACTATACTTTCATCGAATAACCAAACATATTCTAATTCAAATCAAAACATATATAAAATAAAATAAAAATAAAAAAAATTAGAAAATAAAAGATAGCAGTGATGCCAAATGGCCCCCAAGTAGAATTTACTTAGTTTGGTTAAAGCTGGGTATCACATACTCCTTCAAAAGCTTCTTCCAAGGGTTGATCAAAACAGCTTCAATGAGTAATTTAGCTGTTTCTATGAAGGTTTTTTGAATTGAAATAGACATCCCTATTTATTGAGCTTTTTGCATGTTTTCATCATTTTTTTTATGCATTGAGCTTGTTTGCTGTATGTACATCATTTGAAATCTCTTCTGGCTGTCTTTTTTGAGTGTGACTCTTTATGCTCCTCTGAAGAGGAGAGTTTTGAATCAGGATGTTTTACATGGACAACCTTTATGATTAGCGTCAAACATTCAGTGGTTTTATTAGCAATTATAACTTATATTCATTCCTTTCGAATGATGACTACTTATTTAGAGGATCTGCCCTTACAATGTTAAATAACTTTTAATCTAACTAGAAGATCAACATTTCACACTTTTTAACAAATATTTTAAGGATTCCCTGTGTCTGCACTATAATTATACTTCCTCATCGGTCTTTTAGTAGACTGGAGCATTCATTGTTGATTCA